TCGTCTTTCCCTCCCCTAGCTTCGCCTCTCTAGTCCGTTGTATGTCCCAAGCAATCCGATGAAGATCTGCTTTGGGGTCACTCTGCTTGCCAACGGTACTCCGGGATAGAACTGTGGCAACTTCATCCTTATTGAGATAAGAGTGAAGTGAATTTACGGCGTTTCTGTATGCTATCTCGGCTTTTCTGTGATGTCTTTCAGCCAGTACTCCTTGCGAAACCGCTGACAACAATGCAGTTCTTCCAACGGAAGAGCCCGAGTTTCCAACACATAGCCGCCTCCTCGGAGCAAACTTACTCGAATGTCATGCGATCAGCTCCTCTCTCGTCTTCTGTCGCATCCTCAGAGAAGCGCCGAAAGACCTCGTTATGGGGTTCCCAGCGGATGATTGGGCTCGATGCACTCTTCGGGCTCCCGCCATCACGGCTCCAAGATGGCGTCCGAAAAACGACGCTGGTGTTCAAGGAGGGAAATCGATACATGTCGCCGGAACATGTCGGCGAAGCTTGAGAACCAGTTCACAAAGGTAACGAAAGTTCTCCAAGAGGTTGATAGGCTAGCGGCGTATTGTGTATCTAGAACCTTAATTGGCTGACCGCCTAGGATGAAATAGCTGAAATTCCATTGAGACTTTTGATCCTTTTGAAGATCACCAGTAAGAGACTCGATACGATGAACCCCTAGACCTCCTTTACACCGGAGTCAATAGTAGAGTACCACCACGACTATTCAGGGGGAACCTCGGAGACCTTGACAGGGCCCTCCGACTACATCTGTTTCCCTCTGATTCACGTCTGCAGAACCTGGGGGATCACGAGACGAGGGTGATGAGACAGAAAGGAGAGGGTAAGCTTATAAAAATTGCTTGTTTTCTCAAGGCCGCCAATCAGTGTGAGCGCAGCTTCCGCGTTTTCCATGGTGGCGCCGGCTTGTGTCACAAACAGCAACCATGCCTTTTCGTGCTGAGGCCTCTGACCATGGACTATCGGCGGTCTGGACGCAACAGGAGACACAATCTGAGGTTGTATTTCCAGCTGAGGGCTGATTGTGTTACCAACTACCATCATTCACGATAGGCTTTCCGAGGAAGACCTTGGAGACGAGCTCCAACGCCTACACTGAGACGTGTTTCTGACCTCGATTCTTTTCCCGACACGATACTAGTAAGAGGAATGTGACGCCATCTGCCACTATTCACGCAGCGCGCAAGGATGCCGATATTGTCGAGTATGGGATGGCTAAGTAAGCGGTTGACAAACTAGAATGCTGGTTAATGCGCCTCTTGGCTGTCAGCTTGCTCAAAACTAATACGATAGTTACGATCATCGTACTACGCTTTTCAAAGCGTAGTTCTCAATGAGTATGGAGACAACATGAACTTAAAATAGTAGTAATAGCAGTAGCAGTGATAGGAACGCTAAAAAGAGAGGTAAGGTATTGAGCAACAACCTAGTACCTATTGTGTAGGTATCCCACTTGCTCAGCTCTCCAGCCACACGACTTCGAGCTACCGCCCGATGCGAATGGGGGGCACGTCCCAGCTGTGCCGACCCCAAGAGGTGGTAGATGCCCTCTGCGGTTTTAACCTGGGGATCACAGAGCTGGTTTATTGAATGCAGAGAATAGACTAGCGCATATTCCAGCCGTGACAGACTTGACGAAGCAGCGGCTTCTGCAGTCGAACTAGTATTGGCTTTCCTATGCTAGCAGAGAGGCCCGAAGGCGAGGAACGAAGTCAACAGTGAGAACCAAGTGCTCTGGGTACAAAGTTACGCCAGTGATGCTATAAGGTATGTAGAGATCGTGCCTAGTAGGCGATGCTCACTACGTCAAAAGGCACGCTCAGGTAAGAGAGGCAGATGGACAGAAGTCATAGACTAAGGTGACCCCAATATTGGCCGCGAGTTCGAGGAGAACCCCGGGAATAGAGCTCATTTTAGCCTGTACACCAAGTGGGTCGTGCGGACCGGAGCCACGCCGTGCTCGGCCCCGTTTCCAGACTGACGGGCCAGTGACAGGCCGAGTGATGGACCCTGAAAACGGGGGATGCAGCAAAGCGGAGCGCCACGTGACTCTATCGCTGCGATAAGCTAATGTTGCCATCAAGGTGGTCCGTCACAGGGGTTCGAGTCCCGGTTGCGATTTTGGGATCCAAAGAAATTAAGTGGAAGAATTGTTCGGCTCGGCGTTTACTTCAAGCAAGAAGAGGTTACGTCTCACAAACATCACGGGTCCATGACCTAGGAACGATCTATACTTCGCCTTTTGCCCTCCGGCACCTCCCGTCAAACCATGTCGATACGCCGTCCCAGCGCAAGGTCCCGAGCGGACCGCGACAACACGAGTCTCCTTGCCCCCGATACGTATGACGACGACGCCTCATCCATCCACAGCACGCGAAGCGACCAGGACAGCGACAGTGACGATGACCAATTGCAATTGCGTGCGCGGAACAGCCGCGAGCTGCGTGCCGCCGACAGTCTAGTCTTTATGGAAGAAGAGGAGATCGAGAATCTCGTAGAGGAAACACGCAAGAAAAAGGAGCTGCAACGCCGAGGATCTGGCCTCGCTGTCCCGAACCCCCTGAAGCTATTTGGTCGAGGCCCAGACGGCCAACGGCCCGGATCCAGAGATGGCTCATCCGAAAATCTCCTTGACGAAAAGGACAGACGCCAACAGCGACGTATGAGGAGGAAACAGAAGAAGGACCGGCTGCTGGAGAAGGCGACCCACGGCGAGGACGGCGAGCTGATGTACGAGATGGAAGAAGGGGCCATGAAGGAGGGGAGCTCGACCGGGGAAAGCAGCGAAAGGGACGATAGCGACGAACTCGATCGACAGAGACTCAAGATTGTGACCAATGCGAAGACCGATAAGAGGAGGACTTGGCGCCGTTGGCTGCTCATACACAGCATGATTGCCGTCGGTTTCGCGATCCTGTTTCTGGTGGCGTGGAAGTTGTCAATCGGCAGTAGGCCAGCACACAAGGCCGAGTTCGTCAGCAATGGCACGGCGCTCTTCGCGCCGACGACGATCATTATCAGTCTTGACGGCTTCCGCGCAGATTTTCTGCAGCGCGGGATCACACCGAGATTGAACGCTTTTGTAAAGGAGGGTGTTTCGCCAAAGTACATGCTCCCGGCTTTCCCGTCCGTCACATTCCCGAATCACTACACGCTGGCGACTGGCCTTCACCCCGAGAGTCACGGTATCGTTGGAAACACTTTCTGGGATCCGGACATGCAGGCCGAGTTCTACTATACCGACCCAGCACGCAGTCTCGATGCGAAGTGGTGGAGTGGCGAGCCGTTTTGGGTGACAGCCGAGAGGCAGGGTATTCGTTCCGCGATCCACATGTGGCCGGGCAGTGAAGCGCACATCCTCGGTGTTGAGCCAACATTCCTCGACAAGTTCAATGGCAAAGAAGTACTAGACAACAAGGTCAGCAGGATCCTCGAGTTTCTTGACAAGCCGGGCATGGAAGACAAGACTGCCAAGGTCGAAGACATGCGCCCACAGCTCATCGCTGCCTATGTGCCCAACGTCGACGCGGACGGCCATAGATACGGACCGAACAGCACGGAGATCCGGGTTTCCATCGAGTCGGCCGATGCTATGATGGATCAGCTCTTCCTGGCTCTCGAGCAGCGCAACCTTACCAACATTGTCAACGTCATTGTCGTATCCGATCACGGCATGGCCACAACAGATACGGCGCGCCTGCTTCAGCTTGAGGACCTCGTTGACACCTCCAAGATTGAGCATACCGACGGCTGGCCGCTTTACGGTCTTCGACCGAAGAACCCAGATGACCTTCAGGGGCTATATGATGGCTTGGTCGAGAAGTCCAAGACGAATCCCAACTTTGAGGTCTACCTCCGCGACGTCAACATGCCCGAGCGCTACCACTTTTCCAAGAACAAGCGTATTGCACCCCTGTGGATCGTTCCCAAGGCTGGATGGGCTATTGTCACAAAAGAAGAGATGGATGTGGAGAAGGCGCTGAAGGATGGTACGGTCTACAACCCCCGCGGATTGCATGGATACGATCACGAGCATCCCCTCATGCGCGCCATCTTCATCGCCCGCGGACCGGCTTTCCCGCATCCGCCAAACAGCCAGATCGACAACTTTCGTAAGTGGGACCCGCAAGTGTCGTGTCATACTATGAGCTCGGACTAACGTCAGTAGAAAACATCAACGTGTACAACATCCTTTGCGATTCCGTCGGTCTTATTCCAGAGCCCAACAACGGCACTCTGCGCCTGCCGCTCACCACTATGGGTACTCACAAGTCCGAGGACACGCCCCCAGAGCCCGAGGACCCTGTGCCCCCGTACACCACTACCCAGGTCCCCGCTTCTGCCAGCACACCACCAGCGGCACAGTCGGCTACCCCTGATAAGTCCATTCAGGTGGACCCCGTTTCCCAGCCAACGCCTTCCGCGCCGGCGTCAAACGATGACGAGAAAGGAGATGATGAAGAGAGCGACGGAGCCGATGAAGACGCCATGCAGAAGGGCAAGGAAGCCATGATTGGAGTTTGGGATTGGCTCAAGGATAAGTTTGGAAAGGTTTGGGACAAGATCAAGGGATCAAAGGGAGATAAGGAATCGAAAGAGAAGGATGGATCGGAATGATTTCCTGTGTAGAATTGGGTACATGATTTGGCGTTCACGGGTGGGAGGCATATTGTGGGTTTTCTTTGATACTCCCGGCGATTTTCTGTATTTTCTATAGACTGAAATCCCCAAGGTTGCTTTTTCTTGATCGCTAGAACTGACCTTTGTTCCTTCTCAACTGACCTGCTTCGCCTGTTGGTAGCTACCGCAGGGAAAGCCTCGGTGCTCACTCAACTCTCTAGCCACCAATGTCAATCCCAGGCGCAAGAGCCGGAGCCTCCAGTATGCAGTCACGTGAACCAGCCCGAAAATTGAATCCATCAGTAGCATAGGTCTCCACGAGAGAGTCCATGCTCAGGGTGCATCATGTAGCAGACTCTAGTTCATCTGACTCGAACTTCGCTTTCCCAACTGACGGTTGTTGACGCAGTTATCGGCCTTCTCATAGCCGTAGTCCACATAGCTGCTATGGATAGTGTAAAGTGGCGGTGCTGCTTTGAAGCCATGTTGAGCACTGAGGGTGGCTACTTTGACCTTGATCGAACCCAGCAGGGTGGTGCTAAGTTCGTCGCATACGAGCATGTCGTTCTTTCTAAAGACCTTTGTGGGATTCACCTGTCTTGCCAGGTCGGATTCGCCATTGCTGAGTCCCCAATCTTTGATGACGCGGAGTCCGACTCGAAGAAATTTGTACGGAATCTCGACTTTGGAATGATCGCCAGGAAACATCTCGACGAGTCCTTCCGATGTCGATTTGAGGGGTGTGATGATGGCCCACTCATTGCCATCATGCCCATCGATCTTCTTACTAATATGAAGCCAAGCCCTGGTGTCCTTCTTGAGTTCTCGAAAGGGCTGAGTGCTCGGATGGAACAGAAAGGCGAGAGATGATTTTTCCAGTGTCCAGTCCTCCGTCAGCTGGACGGCGACGGCTCTTTCGGTAGCCATGGTGACAGTCGATTTTCAGCTTCGATTTGAGGCGGCTATAGGCTGGTTAGGCTGTGGTTACGAAATAAAGACACTGCAAATTTACCTGTTCGAAAGTATTGGGAAAGCAGACTGATTCTTTCGCAGTTGCTGTTCTTGGCGAGTGAAGTGGGTGGGAGAACCAGAAAGTTGACAGTTTAGAAAAGAGATTTCCTTTCTGCTACCCGGCAAGATGGATGCGGAGGAAGGAGCTTGAAATTTTTTGAAGCACTGATAATACTGAGGTGTTTCTCAAAAGACCGCGCGGGCAAGGTTCGAAGTGAAGGACAAGGTAAAGATGATAGAATTACGAAGCTGACGGAGACCACATCACGATGTATATTCCAGACATTCGTCGGTGTAGTATTCAGTAAGGAATCTTTAGTGAAGGACATCTATCTTACTCCCCATCCGTATCCTCCACGTGTACGCTGTTTGATCACTCCGAAAGGCTTCTGGTTACCCCCAATCCAGTGCAGCTTCCTCTCTCGGTTTTGGCTCTAGTTGAGTTTCGGAATGCAGACCAGGCAATGGTACAAATCTAGCAGTATATGCCAGAACTAAACTCTACCCATGTCCAAGAATCAATATCACTTACCGAGAATGTCAACACTGACGCACAATCAAGCATTGAACTAGTTCTTGACAGCAACAGAACCGGTCATCTGCAAGCCATACTCGACAAAGTCGCGAGGAATAGCTTGCTCGATACCAAAAGCCCTATAGCCCGAATGTTTACCGGCGCTAGGGTAAAGCTTCTTGATCACGTTGATATCGGGCACGTCGATGGTGGCAAAGTGGTCGCAAACAGCTATATCGCCGGCCTTGGAAGACTCCTTCTCAGCCTGAGTGGTATTGGTGCTAGTCTTTGTGCTAGTCTTAAACATGATGGGCGTCATGCTGTCAAACTTCGGAACACCTGGTCCATAATCCTTGACAATTCGAATGCCGATGCGGAGGAATGAGGTGGTGACGTCGATCCTCGCGTCGACCCTGGGTAGTATGTAGGCGAGGCCAGTCTCGGGCTACTGAACAGGCCGAATGGTGATGAGGGGGCTGTCAGATAGACCTCGCGGCTTCTGACTTAAGGCGACAGGGGCCTTGGTGCCTGCGGCAAGGCTACGAAAGGGCCTTGTGGTCGGGTGGACGAGGAAGGCGAAACTAGCACTGTATTCGGTTCATTCTCCCTTGGGCCGAACTGTTACTCGAGGAGCGATGTTCGAGGGGCTTCCTGGGTGCTTCGCGATAGGAGTTTGTTCAGGAGGAGGCTCGGAGGAGGAGGTCGACATCCTCAATGTGTTGTTGGCATTGGTGAACGCATCCAGGGGAAGTTCTGTCGGCGGGGGACCATTTCTTCAGCGTATTGGAGTAAATATGAGACGAGAGCGCTCGCGAATGACTGTAGTGACTATGACCGAAAGAAGCGTGGGAGATTAGAACCAGATCTAGCTTTGGAAATTTCAGATCTAGTACTTATGGGAGGAGCTCTACGGTTGCCTTACAGGCAGTCTCGTACGGAGGAGAAGCAGTATCTCTTACGTTGCCTTGAGTGTCTTGGCAGATGAAAGAAAGCCTATTTATCAAAGACCACAAAAAAAGAGTTCACCACTAGTGTGGCTACATCTCTTGGTGCTAATGCTGGGATTCGAACTCCGGTACTCGCTAAGCCTGTCGTCGAGTAGGCTGGTTGGCGTATAATTGATTGTCGACCTTAGTGACCTGGACCGTCAGCCTAGACGGGCGCCTACTGGCTGGTGACAGGAATGGGTTTGAGAGGGGTCATAAAGGCTTCTTCCTATGTGTACTCCATTGAAGGTGGTGGAGGTAGGGTGTCACGTGTGGAAAGTCCAGCGGTGCCTTGAGGTCAGAGGTCAGTCGAAGCCTGGATGTAAGGTCACAAGGGCCCTGAGTGAGGCTCGACTGACTTCGATGTGAGTGTAGTCGAAGCTGCTCCCGGCTGTCGCCTTTGACCGCCACTCGCAGAAGAGTAGAGAAAGCAGCAGAGTCCTACGAAACAGAGACACTATGGCCAGGCCTTGGACACATTGCAAACGCCCTTGATATTGAAATCTGAGAATTATACAACGTGGCTCAATCATGTCTTGCAGGGAAGTGCAGTTTCACTGGTCATAAGTTCCTGGGAATTGCAACTATACCTCAAACTGGTACTACAGAATGAGGGACTCTCGAAGCCTGGGATTCTGTTGATACATCCTGCTCCGGAAGCCATAAGAGAAATTTTCTGCCTGGCCTGCGAATGTTTTGTTACAACTTCGCTTCTCCTGCCCCTTGAACATCCCATAGAACATGCAGTCATTACCGACTATATCGCCGTTAGCTTGCTGATCTGATTCATCAGCCCGAGAGCGCAGCTAACCAAAACAGACGCAAACTGATGCCATCCCCAGTTCCAAACATTCCGGGGTGAGATCAAAGCTTTGGGCCAAAGGTTCGGTTTTTGGGGCCGGGTGGCAGCCCATACCTCACAAGGCTATAAGGAATAAGACAGTGTCTTCTCTGTCCATTGACAGTCCAGCCTGCGCCATGGACCCTGAGAATCATGGGAGGGTGTATGGAGAAGTCCTCGTGCGTGGCTATATCGCCCTTTAAGAAGATGCCTACTTCTCCAGGAGGATATCGGGCAGCTAGAGCATCGTATTCAGGCACTCTAGGCACGAAATCTCGAAGAATAAAGACTTCAGCGCTGAGATGGGAGACAGGAATCTCGACCAGGCGCTCATCATACGGGTGTTCGTAGTCCTCCAAGGAATCCCAATGAATACTCCCGCTTCCATTTGCATCCAAGAGAACCGGTAGAGACGGGTAATAGAGTGCGATGTAGACCCATTCGCGATAGTCACCGGCTTTCCGGAAGGACTCTTGTCTTGGAAGCCAGGCAATGGTGTCTTTCTGCAGAACAATGAGTTCTGGAAAGAAAAGGCGACCTGAGCCGTCAAATTCGTATCTTTTGCGAATCCGACTGATGGGAGTCCAGTCGCGCTTCAGGACCACAACGATACCCCAGGGGAACCCCATGGCGTTGTGAGAGATAAAGTGTCGATGTGTGCGTTTCGGGAGGAATTGTTCAAAGCCTCAAGTATCGAGTGATCATACGCAAGCTGCTTGAATGTAAAGCCGTTCAGGAATTAGAAGATGCGGGTAGGCAGAGGTAATGTTGTTTACAGGTAGAATACGTGTCGTCGTTGGATTTGTTGTTGTTTCGTGAACATGGATTTACTGGGGAGAGGATACGCAGCAAGTCTTTCCAGAGCGTTTCAAGCTCAGCACTGGAAGTGACGTTAAGAAAAGAGGCGCTTTCCCATCAATACTCTTGATATGTGACTAGTCAGGAACGACGAAGCATCTGCGTCGACCTCCTGCCTCTTGCTTCTGCTAGAACACCAGAGGCAGCAGCCACCAAAGCATTCTTTCCGAAGCACTTTCCTTAAAGGACCCTGTTGGTTTTGACGAATTTACCAAACTGCAACATTGTATTATCTATTAGAGGATGCTTCACGATGTTACTCTTAAAGGTAGACCAAGATCCTATAGTCGTCCATGACTATGGAGACTGGACTAGCGAGCTGATAATAATGTACAGGACCCTTGAAGCATCGTACTTGCCCACACGACATGTACACCGTCAATGGTTCAAGTACGGCTTCAGATAGCCTAGAGCCGTCACCTCAGACTGCCTCTTCCGTGAGCAGGTTCAAATACCGGCTGCGGAAGTTTCTTTCTGATGAAGCTGTGATGAGGTGTATTACCATGTACTTATGGAACAGTCTGATTAGCCTGGATAACACAATACAATCGATTGATAGTGCTCGATGCCAAGACCTTAGGCAGCTGGTACCGGTTTGACTGGGAAAGAGACTATTTAGAGCAATAGAATGAAAACGGTGTGGCTGGGCTCATGAATTGGACCTCAGGTAGAATCCGTAAACAAGTGCTCTGGCTGTTATATGTCAGAGCAGTTGTGCCGGCTAATTGATCCCCAATGGCTACTCTCAGCACGCCTGATTGCGTTGTAGGTAATCACCGGATGCTGGAAACCGCAGGAGAAATCCGTTTGATGCCTGAATAGGCCAATAATTTTGCTGAAATCCTCGCGGCATTATCTAGCTTCTGAGGTGTGGTAGAAGATGGAAGAAGTGGTCACTTGCTAACTCGTAGGAATCCCTGTCCTGACAAGATGGTGGACAGGCCAAACAGGAGCTGTGCGAGAGGCTCTGGGTAGAGAAAAAAGCCTGGTTGGGAGATCTCATAAGTATTCCGGTTGGCTGTGCTGAGGGGGAAGATAAAGTCCAAAAAATGTAACACGTCGTTTCATCGTTCATCTGCCATCCTATGAACTGGAAACCTCCGTCTCTCGCATCCACACTCCATCCCCTGATCTTCCGACGTCAAATCTCTCCACTTATGTCTTCCACTTAATTTGACCTCATCCCAAGGTAATCCTGCTACGCAAGCGTGGCGGAAATTGGAGAGAATAAAAGTATAGCCCACGGCAGCATTTGCGCGTGTCAGTGAGGGGTAGATGTCCTCAAATGGAATACCGACTCTATCTGCTTCCGACATAACTTCATGCCTGGAAAGCTTTCTCGCAACGAAAGCAGAAGGTGCAGCCACTCGGGGGTCTAAACACCCCAAAGAGGCGAACCCCGTGATAATGTTATGTATCATCTCGTGAGTTCTTGAGATCGGTCGACGTGGTACGTTCGTGTTTCAACTTGCCCTCGATGAAGTAGACATACGAGTGACAGAGGCAAACCGTCGTATTCGGAGAACCGAAGAAAGCCGGTGGTAGTTAGAATCTTCCATGTCCAGCAAAGCTCTGTAGGGAGTTATCGATAGGATCAGGGCTTAATGGTATCGCTTGGGGTAGACTGCGTCGAAATCGTCGTTCCTCGATTGGTCCCAAACTTGCCAAGTCAATTCCTGTCATGTTAGTCCAATGGAAATGGGATAGAAATGATCTTCGCAGTAGAGCAATTTTCAAACCTGCGAAACACCTTGCGACTCGCTGGCGAAGTGTCGTCGCCTGCCCCGCGGGTCTTCGTCGGATGACGTTGAAGGTGGTCATGTGACTTGCTCATCGGCCTGGTGGGGCCGGCGGTTTCCGACGCCGTCCGTCGCCACCGCCGTCTTTTCTGTTCCCAATTAGGAATTGTTGGAAAATGGCCAGCAGGGGCCGTGACAAAGATGCTCATCAACTTAGCCAAACTGCCGTGGGATATGGGCTGGTTTAAACATCATTCATGAAGGATGGAAGAGCTTTGTCACGTGACGCTAGATTTTTTTGTGTCTCGGAGTTCAGCCCCTCTTATCCCAAGCGCAAAAAAGCATGGAGGGGCATGGCATGGAATACCCCTCATTCTGCTCTCGTTTTTTTTTTCTTTCTCTTTGTGGCTCGGCGGCGCTTCGTGTGAGAGAGGGGTCTTGCGCATGGGCTGGGGCGGGCGATCGCACTCGTCTTGGTCTTGTTTGGTCCTGGCGCCCCCCCTCCTACGTGTCACTGCACCGCGTTGTCCGTTTATGCTGCTGCTGCTGCGAAATCTGGTCGGATGCCCGATAGATTCTCACTTTATTTCGGGAGAGAGACGCCAACGCGATGGCAAATATGCATGCAGCCGCGATACCACCTAGCTGTCCTGGAAATCTCGCTCTGGGAGAACGCGAGAGGATGAGGATAATTGTCCCTTGACGGGCGGCGCAGGCGCTTAGAACGGGTTGTTTAGGTACCTTTCACCTGCACGTCACCCTTGAGGCCAGGATCTGTCGGACACCCATGTCTGTACACATTTTTTTTTTTTTTTTTGCCTCTTGTCTTTCTGAGATCAGATTTTTTCCAACCCCGCACCCCGTCAGAAAGCCGCATCAGCCACATTTCTTTTCGGAGTTAATGCACCGACCATTTGTGTGTGAGAGAGAAGAAGATATGGATGGGCCCGCTTGGGTTGGCATTCCCTTGACCGATGAAAGAATAAGCAGCACAAGGAGGATTTACAATGCCCCTCGATGGTCGATAATTCCTACGGAAACCAAAGGCAGACAAGGACCAGCCCCACGGAGGAGCCTTGGTTTTGAGGTGGGATGGACCATGGCGACGGCGACGGCGACCACGGCCCCAAACCAAAATGCTACGAGGAGGGGCCCCAAGCACCTGTGTCACCAAAAAGGTATGCAGGAGAAGGCTGTACCTAGCTGTGCCAGAGGGAAAACTGCCAGATACGTGACTCATACCGAACGATTGGGTTGGGCACACACTCTGACGGTCTGACGGTCCAAGAGAGAGAAAAAAAAAACCTGGGCTTCGTCGAGGGGCAAGGAGGGGCCCAGGTTGGGCTGCGCGGCAACCTACCTTGTGTGTCTGACAGGGATTGGGCGGGGTGGAGGGGCAGACCGCAGAGTTCGAAGCTGTGGATGTCTTATCGTTGGCAAAGTAGATCGAGGTCACTCGGAACAAAGCGCTCCCTCTGGTGAAAATTTTTGTGTGTGTGCCAAACGGCGCTGTGTGTCTGTCTGTGTCTGGCCGGTGAGGTATGCGTGTGGATGGGACGAAAAGAGAGAGGCACCTCTCACTTGAGACGCGGCCGATGGTCTGCCTCAAGGTGGACTCCGACGATGAAAAAAAAGATGAAGTGGCCCGACAACGAGGGGAAAGACTCAGGCAGGTCCATATTGCCCCTCCTTGCCTTCCCAAAGAGAAGGCGGCTAGCTAGTGCCCGAGGGAAAATTTGATCGTGATGAATGCGTTTGTTATTGTTCATTACTTTAGCTGGGCTGGCGATTCGACGAATTGACATCACTGGGATCTGCAGCAATGAGGCCTGGAGCTCCCACGGTGGGGTCGATAGGCCAGGATCGTTTGCAGCGCCCCCCGCGACACAGAGAGCGCGGTGAGAGCTGCAGAGTGCCCCTCCATGCCCCCTTACCTGTGACATCAACATGCCATCCATCCTGTTGCCTCAATTCCTGGGACATTCTGGGACAGCAACAAGAGCTGGATAAACGTAGATTGGGCTCTTATGAAGTCTTAAGACAATGAATCAAAGTCGAGAATAGCGATTCTGTTGATAGGAATGAACATCAGAAATCGTCTAGGCAGCTGGAACGGTATAATCATGGTTAGCGACGATGAGCTTTACCGCCCGTCGCATGCCTTAGGGGCAGGAAGGAGAGGCTAAAGGAGGGGTGACACGATACGTACCTGCCTGGAGCGGCCCCGCTTAGTTCGTGCCGTGGCGAGACTGAACCAAGGTACAATGCGCTACTTGTCCGTGAGCCACGATCTGCTAAGAAGCCATCTACACTTGGAATAAACAACAACCACCCAACCAACCACAAAAAAACTGAGCCTGTGAGTGAAAAATTCTACCTTAGGGCAATTCGTTCAGGCAAGAGCCTTTGACCCCACCTTCCTGCCTTTCCATCCCTGCAGACTTTGGCGGACTAGCCCACTCCCCCTCCCACCTCTACTCAACCCACTTCGACCCTCTCACACTCCCACTCCACCACCCAACTTTTCCACTCACAAACATACAAAAGCCTCGCTCGCCCACCAAAGCAAAGCTTTTCCCTCCTTCTTCTGCTCTTCGTCGTACATACCGAATCCAAATTTACGGATCACCTGTGCAGTAAGTATTCACCTTACCTCACTCAGCCACTTCTCTCACACATCAACCACATCATCGCGAGAATCATCACTGACTCGACGCCTTTGCAGCTTTTACCTTTCAAACACACAACTCGATCACATCCCACCGCCAAAATGGGTAAGGAAGAGAAGAACCACATCAACGTCGTCGTTATCGGCCACGTCGATTCCGGCAAGTCGACCACCACTGGTCACTTGATCTACCAGTGCGGTGGTATCGACAAGCGTACCATCGAGAAGTTCGAGAAGGAGGCTGCCGAACTCGTTAGTAACACCTTGTCCAATGGTGTCATTATTTGGTTTGCTAACTCCCTCACAGGGCAAGGGTTCCTTCAAGTACGCGTGGGTTCTTGACAAGCTCAAGGCCGAGCGTGAGCGTGGTATCACCATCGACATTGCCCTCTGGAAGTTCGAGACTCCCAAGTACTATGTCACCGTCATTGGTAAGTTCAACTCTGACATGATATCTCTCATTTTGAGGAGCGCCTGCCGTTCTTCGATGAGCGAGATCAAGTTTTATTTTCGCCTTCAGTCGCTAACCTCGACTAAACAGACGCTCCCGGTCACCGTGATTTCATCAAGAACATGATTACCGGTACCTCCCAGGCCGACTGCGCTATTCTCATTATCGCTGCCGGTGTTGGTGAGTTCGAGGCTGGTATCTCCAAGGATGGCCAGACCCGTGAGCACGCTCTGCTCGCCTACACCCTCGGTGTTAAGCAGCTCATCGTCGCCATCAACAAGATGGACACCACCAAGTGGTCCGAGGCCCGTTACGAGGAGATCATCAAGGAGACCTCCGGTTTCATCAAGAAGGTCGGCTACAACCCCAAGACCGTTGCCTTCGTCCCCATCTCCGGCTTCCACGGCGACAACATGCTTGCCCCCACCACCAACGCTCCCTGGTACAAGGGCTGGGAGAAGGAGACCAAGGCTGGCAAGTCCACCGGCAAGACCCTTCTTGAGGCCATTGACGCCATCGACACCCCCAAGCGTCCCACCGACAAGCCCCTCCGTCTTCCCCTCCAGGATGTCTACAAGATCGGTGGTATTGGAACAGTGCCCGTCGGCCGTATCGAGACTGGTGTCCTCAAGCCCGGCATGGTCGTCACCTTCGCCCCTGCCAACGTCACCACTGAAGTCAAGTCCGTCGAGATGCACCACGAGCAGCTTACCGAGGGTCTCCCCGGTGACAACGTTGGTTTCAACGTGAAGAACGTTTCCGTCAAGGATATCCGCCGTGGCAACGTCGCCGGTGACTCCAAGAACGACCCCCCTCTGGGTGCCGCTTCCTTCAACGCCCAGGTCATCGTCCTTAACCACCCCGGTCAGGTCGGTGCTGGATACGCCCCGGTTCTCGACTGCCACACTGCCCACATTGCCTGCAAGTTCTCCGAGATCCTCGAGAAGATTGACAGACGTACCGGCAAGTCTGTTGAGAACAACCCCAAGTTCATCAAGTCTGGTGACGCCGCCATCGTCAAGATGGTTCCCTCCAAGCCCATGTGCGTTGAGGCCTTCACCGACTACCCCCCTCTGGGACGTTTCGCCGTCCGTGACATGCGCCAGACCGTCGCCGTCGGTGTCATCAAGTCCGTCGAGAAGTCCGCTGGCAACGCTGGCAAGGTACGTTCATCCAACTCATCTTACTCTCATGTCTCTCCATCAACTAACATCATCATCACCAGGTCACCAAGTCCGCTGCCAAGGCTGGCAAGAAATAAGCGATCTGACTCACCAGGGTTGGTTGCTGAGTTCGCCCACGGCCTCACCGTTGTGGCTCACTCACTTCTACGGCTTTACGAATTCCCTTTGCGTGGCATGAGGACATTATGATATGGCGGAAAGCACGAATATCGAGAGGAAGGTTGGACCGGATGATTCTACGTCAAAAAAGCTTCTCATGATACGTGCCTAGTAGCACAAAAATAGAGTCCTAGAAGTGATTCCCAAGTTAAAAAACAACGTTCCAAAATGCTGTGACATGAGGCTCTCGTGATGTAATCTTCATAGCTCTAAGTAACCTCTAATCGGAGACGGGTCCCCTGCTGTTAAAGTGCCTGACTGATCATGGCAAGCCTATTCTCCTGTCGTGGTGCCAGTGAGGCTTTCCACCGTGTACTTGTCCCAAGTATGGCAGTCCGGTCCCGAGGCTTTCATTTGCTTCTCCGCATGCCACCGTGACACTGTGGACCTGAATATGGGCCTTGCCTGTCCCACGATAAATGCTGAACGATGCTCCCTTCAATCATTGTCTTTATCTGTTCTGAGTCGCAACTCTCTCGAGTCACTGATGCCTTCACTGGGCAATACTAAGTAGTTAGGCTGACAGAAAAGTTTCAAGGCGAGCTTCTGCCTCCCAAAGCTAATTACTGATACTCAGAAAGGAAGGCATTCGCGCCTTCACCTTCACCAAAGACCGCCCTCACCGCGTTTTTAGTAAACTGTGCCTAACTCTCGGTCATACAAGCTTCAAGTAATTAGGCTTTTTATACATCAGCGATAGTACAGTTGATCTACAATTATTTGGTACATGATTTTACAAGTCATCCTTTTTCGGCGTCTCAGCCTCGCCGCCCACAGAAGTCTCAGTCTCAACGTCCTCGTTGGCCGATGCTTCAACATTGTTGTCCACAGGAGTCTCAGCTTTCCCATCCTCTGCCGCTGTCCCCTCTGCAGCTTCTAGCTGCTCCGCAGGAATATCAAGCTCACTCTCACCAACAGTCTGCTCCTCTCCAGCCTCCGCGACCTCAATCTCCTCGACTGCCGCCGCCGTCGTGCCTTCAACTTCCTTGAATTCTCTCGCAAGATCCCTCTCTCCGATCCACTTCACAACACCGCCTCTCACAAAGTCCTCCGCGATGTCGAGGTACTTCCTCGCGTAGGCCTTCTGTTCGTATTTTGACAAGCTCGCGTCGGCAGGTGGTGGCACAGCCTCAAAGTTCATCTGAGAGCGGCGACCGCCGTGCAGACCGGCCTCGATACTCGCCAACTGGATCTTGTGACCCTCGTAGCCCACCTCGAGAGTCCTGCGCATCTCGAGACCGGCAAACATGTACTTTACAAGCCCGGAAACGCTGCCGTCATCCTTGGCGAAGGGAAGACCCGACAGCTCGACCTCGGGCGGCGGGCGCAGGCGTCCTTCGAGGAGATCCAGCTTCGCGGCCTCAATGTACTCGCGGAACGCAGACGTATCGAGGGCCTCTGGTGACATGGTGGACACCAACGGCTGCGAGAGCCGCAGGTCGACGGGTTCGGAGGGGTACGCGACGTCGGTAAAGGTCTGGCTAAGGGTAGCGACGAGGCGCTTAGGAGTGGCGTCCCACGCCAGGGGGCCTTCGGGTAGGTCGTCCGGAACGGTCAGGTGGAGTTCAAGGAGGTCGGGAAGGTCGTGGGCCGTTTCCTTGGCCATAGAGGGGTGAGGCCGGAAATGGAGGAGGAGGGTAGTTATGATGGGGGTTTCCGGATTCGCAGAGGTGACTGACTCCACGATGGGTGTGAGACCTGCGGGAGGCGGAGAGCTAGGTGAGAAGATGTGGTTCTTGGTTTTGGCTGCCTTGGTGATTGAAAAACTTCCTTCGTCATACTTGTGGAGTATTTGGCCAAAGGAAGCGGTTGTCGAGACGTACGGCTTGCTCCAAGGAGCATCTGAATCCAGAGCCGGGGCCTCGGTGGTCAGAGGCAAAGGCAAAACGTCGCCCTCCGTGATGGTGAACGCCTTGTCGGTTAGATTTTCTCGGCCGGCTTGCTTCACCCATCGAGACCACTGTGTAAGCCTCTCCTTCCACGAGAGCTTCTCGTTGCCGCGAGGCTCGGCGACAAGTCTTGCCTTCTTCACATTGGACTCATGTTTCAGGGCGATGGACTGTTCTCTCGGGAAGAGGGCGGAATGTAGCAGACGCTGAACAATATGGCCCAGTTGTTCACCCGTTTCGTCTTGGTCTACCTGTTCACCAAAGGCGACTTCAGTGTTCCCGTGTTTGATCCACGACACCTCAATCTGCTCGGCTGTTAGTTGTAGTCATAACTGCAATACGACGAGTTAGACGCACCTCTTTACGCTTTTTACGGTCGATGAAAGTATTGGTGAGCTGACCCAAGTTCCAGAGTAACTTCCCGTCGACCTCGCTATTAGCAAGCCAATCGGCTTTGAAGTTCTTCACAATGATGGATTTGGTAGCTTCGTCCAGCCTCTGAAGAACTGCCTGTGTCTTGGCCTTGGTGGCGTTAATCTTTAATATCGAATCCGAGATGTCAATGGTTTCGCCTGGATCGAGATAAGCCTCCCTGATGGCATCCAGTCGCTGTTCTCGGTCTATTTGCATGTTAGACAGCACTGCCGTAGCTGGGTCGCATTACTCACTCGTAAGTAGCGCAAAGAACCGCTCATCAATCCGCCCACTCAAATAACCTTGGCCGTCGACAATCTCTCTCATGGTCAAGCGCCAGGCCTCCAGCATGAGAGTCAATCCCAGCCTCTCCTTGGCCGAGCCGTCGATTTCGACGCTTGCCACAGGGGTCCAGGGCGTCAACACTTCTACAGAATCGTAGAGCTGCTTCGTCTTCTCCTTGGGCGTAGTAGCAGCTCTCGCGTTCGCACGGCTTACATATGCCCTGAGTTGGGCAACTGTGAAGCCATTGATAAGCACATCAAGCAGCGTATAAAAGTCATCGTACGAGACAATGGGATCGGAGGGCCGGATCTCTTCAAGGTTCGACAGTGCCTCCTCCATCGTCAAATCCTTATCTTCAGATGCTAGGCTCTGGCTGATGTCGAATGCCTCGGGAATGAGCTCTTCAACGGGCAATTGCTTAATATTCCGGTGGCTGCGTCTCATGTCGCGCATGACAATCGCTTGTGCCTTTTCTCCCAGCATATCAACGTCCAGTGCCTCAGATTGGAGGTACACACTACGATTGCCAACGCGACGCCTTGAGACTCGGTCGAGGGGGTCTTCGCCGATGTAGTATCTTGTCAAGAGAGGGCCGCTTCGCTTCGTCGGCCCACGGGACAAGGTGGGAGCTTCCGGTTCGGTTTCGATCGATGCGCCATCTCCTTCTACTATTTTGGGTGACGTCTGAGAAGGCTGGTCTTTCTTAGATGAGACGTCCTTCTCAGGCACCTGCCTGCTTGGCGGTTCTTCATCCCTCCCTTCTGAGATTCTGGTAAGGCGCTCCCATGCTGATTCGGAACTATACGTCCGTCGCTCGAGAAGCTGGGTTCGAAAAGGGGCGATTCGGAGTGAGCTATGAGCTCTCGGTCGGTCGAGGATTCGTAATTGGCATCGCAGGCATACACCACGAGCAAACACTACTCGCGAAATCATTTGAAAGAAAGAAATGCAGAATAACGCTGTATGAGCATTCACATGCCTTTGCGAACATACAACCATGTCACTCAGACCAGAGCTCCCAAATTTTTGCGACAGGAGCTGGATGCGATAAGATAAGAGATAAGATAACGTGGCGCGAACCTGCAGGTGCGAAGGGTCTGAAGTGGCACCGCGAAGACCGCGTCCAGTCGCGTCAGATTGCAAGTTCACCGAATTTTACCTACCAGTACAGTCGAATGGCCTACGCTTTGGGTTTCTTCTAAAACTGAATTGAGAATCCGCATTGTTAAGATTCCGTTGTCAGAGTTGGAGCACCTTCGTTCCATTCAGAGCCAACATGCCTCCCTCACAAAGGAGGAGACGACCCGTATGCCCCGCGCTAAATCCTCAAGGCTCGCACCAGAGACTAACAGCACCCAGGTCGACGACGAAGACTCAGACGAGGAACCAAGACACCCGAGACAAAGGCGCAATAATGACGAATCTGCTGAAGAAGAAGGATCTGAAAATGGTGCTGTGGACGCCGAAGCGAGCGCAGAAGACCAACTCTCGAAGAAACTGGTGCGATATGCGCTGGCCTGCGAATTTTCGCGAACGCCTATCCGTCGAGACGGTATCAAGGAGCGAGGTACGAAGATACGATGGGCTCGTAGCACTGTGAGCATTACTGACGGTCGCTTCAGTACTCGGAGATCAGGGTAGAGCATTTAGGAAAGTATTCGACCTAGCGCAACAACAGCTCCGCCTCGTCTGGGGCATGGAGCTGCGAGAACTCGCAGTGAGGGAAAAGTTCACAATGGCGGAGAAGCGACAAGGCAAGTGTCATCTACGACACGACGTCACTTGGCATCCCCCGCTAACACCGCGCAGCATTAAAGTCCGGCTCCCAAGCAAAAAGCAGCTCAGGCGTCTACGTCCTATCCTCGACCCTCCCCTCCCAATACCGCTCCCCGACCATCCTCGCCCCCTCAAAAGCACCGAGCACCGACGCCGAAGCATCGTATGTGGGCTTCTACACCATGATTGTGACCATCATCTTCCTCAGCGGCGGCGAGCTGTCTGAGCAGAAGCTACGGCGGCATCTGAACCGCCTCAACGCCGAGGCGAACGTGGCGGTGGAGAAGACGGAGGACGTGCTGAAGCGTATGCAGACGCAGGGCTACGTCGTGCGCAAAGTGCAGAAGAACGCGGGGACGCAGGCGCAGGACGGCAGTGAGGACATTACGTGGCTCATTGGCCCGCGCGGGCTCGAGGAGATTGGTGCCGAGGGAGCGGCGGGTATGGTGCGTTCTGTCTGGGCCGACCAGGCTGATGCGGACCTGGAGAAGAAGATTGGGGCGAGTTTTGGGATTCGCCCGGCTGAGGATGGGGATGGGGATGTAGATATGTCA